AATGTTTCAATTAGATATATCATTAATTGGAAGAATTTTGTTTAAATAAATCAAATTAAAAAGTAGAAAAAAAATCTTAAAAACCCCATATATTGCTTTTAAATAGCTTAATTTGTTCATCAGTAACAAACAGATTAAGTTTTAAAGTCAAATATCTTACATATTGCCGAATGGCAACATACTCGAATGAAAATGAAACAAGGCACTTACAGTGGGCGATATATGTATATATATATTATATATTATATATATTGAGGTATAAATATAATTTTATGTGTAATTCATTTTAAAGCTTAATTTGTGCTAAAGCAGAAAAACTAATCATTTATTAATGCAAAAATGTTTTTCACTCTAAAACATCTTCAAGAAACCAAAAAATAATTTAAAAAATAACTTAAAGTGGTAAAGTAATTAAATGGTTAATCCATTAATTTTAAACCTTCAAACATTAAAGTAAATAATTAAAAAACAAAAGAAATAAAGATTAGGAACAGTAGAATAACGAAGATTGCTTTAAACTCGCTATCACCAGGGAAAGGTTTTTTTTAAATTATCTTAATTAAACTAATTAATTCAAAAGCTATATTTCTGAAGTTATACAAGAAGAGGTAAAAGTTTCAAAAATTTAAACCACTTTTTCCCGAAAGCCTTTAACACTTATTTGAAGATTTTGGTGTTTAATTTCCCATAGATATAATTCCCATGAAAGTTTGAAGTATTTATTCGACGAAATGATAAATTTAATTAACAATATAATTATAGTAATTTGTTTCTATTCCTTCTATTGTCTGTAGCGAAGACAAATATGAATTCGGTATGAAATACTGTTCATATGTATGTTAATATATCATAAGCCTCCCATATAATTTGCCTGCATATTACAAGTTCCTTGGAAGGAAAAATATAAATTGCCTGGAACGTTGTTTTATACGAATTTCAAGCAAAACCTGAAGCACCTGCTTAAGCGACAATGGAGAAGTTTATCTCTTTCGGTCATTTCTAGTAGTTTTAAATCACATATTGTTGTGATATTTAATAAAAATGGACTTTCTGACTGTTGAAGTGTAACTAAAATCGTGATGATGTTTTGTTACTTCCAGCAGAATGAATATACTTTATGATAAAGCTTCTACTATTCGCGAATAAACCTTTTCCTTGAATAACATTTTATTATGAAGTTCATCTGCTCTTGAAAATTTGATGCAATGATAGTAAGAATTCTGCTTAAAGTAAATTAATAATATAAATACACTTCATATCGAATCATTCCAGATTCAGTACCCCAAATCATGATTTAGAATCCCTTTTTTTTAATAACTTATTTTGGAGCGTTCTTCTGGTATGAAACCTGTATGATGTTGAAACATAATCCAAAGCTAAAATCTGTATGATACGAAGAAAATAATCCAAAGCTTCAGTTGTTAAAAAATACAAAAGTGTTCCATTCATAAGTTGTTCTCTTTCAGTCCAGGCTTCTCGAAAATAATATTTCATTTCCTGTATGACAATTTAATTTCTTTTTATTTAAATGATCTTTCCGTCATTTTTTTTTCTCTGCATCTGTAGTTTGAACCGAAGGGATACAACTCTCGTTAACTTTCCACAATAACTATCATTAAGTTTCAGCGTTTTCTACTATTCAACACGGTTTTAGTACCTTATTATTTAATATGAATCTTTAATTACGTAATAGTAGAATACATTAAAAACGTTTCATTACAAATACTTCAGAAAAACAAAGGTTCCAACCTTTCTTAAGGCTGAAAGTTCTGTATTTATGATCAAATTCATGATAATTCGTATTACATTCCGCCTGCTACGATTACAAAGGCTTCATGCAACATTTCGCGCAGCTGTTATTGTTAATACTTTAACTGTATTCTGGTGCTTTTTACATCCATTTTGTATATTTTAAATCAAGCACTGTACACAGATTGCATTAAGGTAAATAGCATTTCAAAAAACACCGAATTTATGAAAATGGACCGGTTACTTTCGTTTTCCTGATTCCTTATTATCTAATTCCTGCGTCTCGCTTTAAAATTAAAATTTTAATCGCGCGTCTAATTTTCAGTATTATTTATGATTTTATAAATATGATAGGAAAAATAATACAAAAATTTCTTAAAAATAAAGATAATAAAAGAAATGTAAGCATTAATCATTGCCTTTCTTTAAATATTTTAATCAATTAAATTGAAGCAACCGCTGTCTTTCCTTTTAAACCTTCTGCTTAAAGACCTGCCAAAACTTCGTAAACTTGTTTTTGGAAGATGGATTATTGTTGATTTTACTTGGAGGCGAGTAGGAAAAAAATTAATTTTTGTAATATTTTAGTATAATGTATTATTTGAACTAAAAATACCAAATCACCATAGCAGTGAAAATCCTTGTGGTGTTACAAAATATGTTCTTTCCATTTATTTCAATCCGTTATTTTTAGACGCATTAAAAATGAAAAAGAGGGCAGTGCAAGGAGAAATAGGAAATAAATAAATCCGCTTTTAGTTGTAACTATTCAAACCCAAGTCACTATTTCTGATGAATTAACCAGAAGTTAGATGACTAAGAAATAAATTATGTATTGCATTTCGTTCTGTATAAAAACTGGTTTTAAAATTCTAAATGTTTTATTCTTTTTTGTGAACTTTTTAAATTCATTTCGTTTTCTATGATACAGACACGTTTTAGCCTCCTTTTGGAAAGAATCCAAGTTCTGTTTATTTGTTATAGCAAGAACAAGCTTCTAACAACCAACCGCGAGTTGTTTTTCATCCCTGAGACTTTTATCCAATTTTCAGTTATTTCCAATAAGAAAAATATTTAGGTCTACATTTCACTTTATCCCCTTTAAGCCGCCCAATCTTCTTTTTCATCTTTCAACTAAATATCCTTCGATGAACAGAAACCTTTACTCTCCGCCCTCAAAATATTTGTTTTGTTGAGTGTAATTCTTTCAGTATTAGTCAGCACCCGGCAAGCATTACGACGCGGATTTGCGGTATATCTGCTATGGATATATGTTACTTTTCTTACCATGATTTCATTGGGATTTTTTCATGACCTATTTCAAATGGTAATCTGTAAAGCTTTTTAGCCATTGGGGCCAATCTTTAAACTTCTTGTGGCCACTCTACCTTTTCCCTTAGCGCAGATATCGTTGATTCTTCTCTTTCAAGTTAATCTCCACCTTTAAAGAGAATGGTGCAAATATTATTGTTTCACAGTAAATTACAATGAATAATTTTTATCTTGAGTAAAATCATAAAACATTATCACGACTATATGTGATGAAGGTCAGTATCTGACCATTCAAACACAACTGTTAAATTTCTGTTTCTTTTTTAAATTACTCTTTTTTTATCTACGGTAATTTAGGAATTATATTTTGGTATATTTTAAGACGGCATATCATTCAGAAAATTATATATCATTGTAAATTTTCTACATTTTCTTAAAAACTGTTGAAATCTAAAATATAGGTGAAACCTCATGCTATGTTTAATACTTTCGTTGTGGAGAGGCAGTTAATGTGTGTTTTTACGATTCAAGATTTTCCGAACGAACTTTTATAATTCTCAAATACTCGTACTTCATATATTCGTCTAAACCCGAGAAGGGGGAAATTGATGCATGATACATATTTTACTTGATGAATGCTTTGATTGAAGTAGTTTTCAAATCAATTTGGCAAAGCGTTTCAAAAACAGGAGAATATAGATGCCCTAAATTTTTATTGGAATCAAATAAACGTTAGATGCTCACAAAATTTAGTTGCAGTAATTTTGTATCTCATCGTGCATATTAGATAAAGTTTTGCAATGAAATACAATACCACAAAACCATAATATTTTTCGGAAATGTCCAACTTCAGTTATTAAACAAAATCATTCTCTATAAAATTATCAAAGCAAGAACTTTCCACAAACAGGTCCTGCTTCATCAGGAGCTAACAAATCTGCAACGAAGGGAAAGTTACAGTTGTATTTATCGGAGACAGGAGTAAAGCAAACGAGATGGTAGCACCATCTGTCCGCAAAGTAGTAACGGAAATAAAAGTTAAAATTAAAAAAAAAAAAAATATCCGAAAGTCTTCTTTCATTGGTGAATTTATTTTTCTCGAGGCTTTTCACATTCACAAAGATTTATCTTATTTAGTTAATGACTTTAATTCCAATACAGTACTCCCTAACGCTTTTAAAATTCTATTAACTTAATTTTTCAATTTTCGTTACTATTTCTGCTGACAAAAGACGCTGCCTTCTCTTTCGCTTACTCCTTTTGGCTATATATACAACCTTGGCTTTTGCTTCTGGGGAAGAGGGACCTGTACCTGTTCGCCTTAGATTTGAATAGAGTCTTGACTAAAATCTACGCGAAAACCTATATTGTTGCTTTGCTAATCGTATGTTATACTTTTGTGTGTTTATTTTTGTTTTGATCATTTTCTATATTCTTATTCTGAATATATTTTCCGCCCAGTCGGTATGGTGGTCAGGGAAGCTGACTGCGATGACGAAGGGCCTGAGTTCGAATCCCGGAGAAGGCGTGGTTGTAACTCTCCGTCGTCCCTTCATAGGAAAGGCGACGGTGGACCGCCTATTAGGGGCCTTCATAATAAAGTGACCACCACATCCGGTCCTGTACAGATTAATGGACTGGTTTACGTTTGTAATTGTTCACAATCTGCCATTGGAAAAAAAATTCTGAATATATTTTTTTATAACTTATAGACTTATTCTGAACGTATTTCTTTCAAAACCCACATTCTGATTCTGAATATATTTTTTTCCAAACTTCAAACTATGTGACATTTTATATGCTAATAAGTAAGATTGGAAATATAATTAAACTATTAGTTTTCTGATCAATCTCTATATATTTTATTAAAAGCTGCTTATCTTTGCTTCTGTGACTTCAACATTTTAATAGTTAATTACAATACAAGATAACTGTTATTTGTTCTCTCTACAGTTAAGTTATTTTCTTATATTTTGCAGAAGTACCAAAACAGGAGAACAGAATGAAAAATGGATGTTGTGGCTTCTCTTGAGCATGACGTTTTCTGCTTTTGCTCTTTTGGCTAAAGAGCAAGGAATCACCGTCCTAACAGTTTGCATTGCTTTGAGAGTACATCAGTTGATTGGAAATACAAGGTCAGTTGTACACGTTATATGTATACATAAATATACCTTACAGGGCAATACATTGATAGTGAACAGCACTGGTTCTTATGCATCCTTGAACTTGAAAAGGTATTTTCCTTAACTTTGGTTTTGAATTCTCAAGAAGTTTAAAATTTAGGTAGTTAAGATGACATTAAACTAGGAAATGGTATGAGCTTAACGAAATAAATGTGAAATCATTAATTCCAAATTTAGAATACTGCTTTCTTATGATGTCTTCAACGGTTATAGAAAATGCCAAACAATTTACCTTTGAAATCCGAGTCGTTATATAATAGTCAAATTGTTATTATATATCCTTCAAAGTCGTTATAATAGATTTTTAACTCTAGAGGAAAGGGCATAAATTTCTTCCTTCTAAACTGCCGTGAAGGTAATCATAATTGTTTCATTTTTGTGCTTAAATATTTGATTTTCTGGGTAGCTAATATAAAATAAAAAGTTTCATCTGAAGAATTTTTGAACGATGTTTTTACGATGGAGTTTAAAATAAAGAAACGTATTTGACAGCATTCGTATCCTTCGCTGTTACTCTTTAGGTATACTATTTACTAAGCTCAACACAGCTGTATCTATCTTTTAAAGCGTACTCTTCGTTTTCATTCATATACTTCGCAAAAGAAAAAATTCCTTCCCAGAAAGAGTTCTAATATTTGTTTAGTGATACGTTTTTTTAATAAGGAATCCATAAGTAAGAGTGCATTTCTAATAGCAGTCGGGCATCTCCAGTTAAGAAAGAATTTTATAAAAATAACATTTTCCTCTTTCTTAAAAATTCAGTTTATAATATTTTGCTTAGTGTATCATTCGGCTTATAATGTATTATTTAGTATATTATTGAGTTTATAATATATTATTCAGTTTGGAGAGTCATTAGGATTTTTTTAATGCTTTACACGTGAAAAATGAGCATTGCACTCGCTGGGACTCGAACCTGAACCTCTCGAATCTGCGCTGAGTGTGCTACTGTTACACCACGAAGGCATTGCTGGAAGGAGGGAGAAATCACCTTATATACTGCCCCCTTCAAAAGGCGACTGGCGTTAAGGGCGCGGTCACCAAATCCTGGTGGTGATGAATTATTATCCACCGCCTTTTAGTTCGGTTTTCTGACCCGAAGTATAGAATATTTATAACAAACATGATAGTGCTTTTTAAAATTTTGCGTAATCATGTGTGCTAGTAATGTTACCTGCAGATATATTAATGGCATTGATTATAACGATTATGTTAATTTGTTTGATGTGACACGTTCTGGAAAAATTATTCCTGTAATTTTATGTTATTTCGTGTATTTATTTCATTATTTTTCTTTTATTTTTTATATATTTATGTCTCTTTTTTATCCAATAAAATTTCCCGCTGAGCTAACATTCAGTGGGGCATGTTTCGACCTAGGACGGATGCCGTCTTGATGGCGGACTGTATTTATTCTGTAAGGAAGGAAAAGCAAATCAAGCTAAATAGCCATGAAACAAAGCAATGCGTTTATCTATTTATTTCTTTCGTGAATCGTAACTTACCATTCTGAAACTTTAATGCTTGAACATTAGGTACTGCACAAATCCAAGGAGTAAATGTCTGATCTCGGAGCACTAGCTACTAATAAGAAATTATAATTTGTTGAATAACATAAAAATGTAGCAGTTTATTTCACTGGAAATTGCTTAATAGATTTTTAAAGAAATTGCTTTGATCTATTTACCAAATCTGACAGCAAGTTTTGTTTATTTCCCTCATCACTTGCTACCTATCACATTTATATACTATTCACTATGAAAAAAGGCGCTACTTTTCCAATAATGTAGGTTTATTGTGCACGTTTATAATAAGAAATCATTCAAACTGTTATTTAGAGTCTATCATTTCTGTAGCTTTCACTGCTTTTCTATTTTAAGGAATATTCGCAGATTTCTAAAGGCAATGCAATTGAAAGGGAAATAAATTAATCCCCCATTTTCTTTAAAACAAATAATCCATATAAAACTTAATTTAAGTTTTAAAAATTAAAAATACATTTTTATAATCTGAAAGTAATCTAAAAATGTTTAAAGCACATCCATTACTTACTACGGTGATCAGCTTAGACTAATGGATTATTAGGTCCTTCAGTCCGGCTCCAGTTCCGGGTAAGGCATGAAGATTTGTGACTGTGATGTTTTTACAGCAGCAGAGCACCTAAAATTTACCTAGCCCAATGTTCCGAATTTGTTCCATCCGAAAGAGTTTGGTAGTAGAGGAAGACAGGTGCGAGACCTTTAGATTCCATTTCCCTCAGACTGGCTGTTCAGATTAGAATGGGCAGAGAGCGAAAGAGAGAGAGAGAGAGTGCAAAATCAAATAACTTAGTTTAATTGAACCGCTGAGCATTTATAATAAAAATAAATTCACTACGTTCTGAGACATAGAAAAATGAAGAAAAGTATTTTTTATGTTCAAGGGTATTTTTGCTGTCCGGTTGTCAGTGCAAAGAAAGACAACATTCATTAATTAAAATTACTGATACAACATTAATTAAAATTACTGATACAACATTAATTAAAATTACTGATACAACATTAATTAAAATTACTGATGCAACATTAATTAAAATTACTGATACAACATTAATTAAAATTACTGATACAACATTAATTAAAATTACTGATGCAACATTAATTAAAATTACTGATAACATCACGCCTTGAATTATATCTATAGATTATTAAGAAACTATTTATGAATATACGTCATCAAGAATGTTTTTCCTTTCCTTATTATTAACAGTATTTTCACCACTTTGAATTTTAAATAAATATATAGTTTAGGGCAATTCACGACAATATAGACCTCTTTCGTCTGCACAGCATATGTTTTTAGAACAGTGCTTTGTCGACATTTCCCAAATGAATAGAACTTAGATCATTCATATGAAAACCATGATTAGTATGAAAATGCCGGTTCAAGTGCAGGAGGCTCAGTGCGCAGCAAGCCAGCAGGAGGATTGTTAAAGCGCACTAATTGATAAACAGAAAGACAGTGCATCATAGATAAGAGAGACCTATTATCGCAATATGATAATAGATTATGTACATTTATTTTTCAGAAGTAACGTTTTACTTAAATTATATTCTCAAAGGACTAATAATAGAATATTCGCTTTTTTTGGTTCCTAAACAACGTAGTATGTTTGATTCCTAAACATCGTAGTCAACTGAATTCATTAAAGTCATACTGAATTCAGCTACACACTTTGATTTACTAAGTAAAGTTTTAATTAGGGGTTTTAATAATCAACTTGTTTAGTTCCTTTGCTTTGAAAAGTCAGATATTCTGCTTTTAGTTTTAGATTAACTCGGTTAAGAAACGTGCGTCTTAAGTAATTTTTTAGTATTATTGAAATTTAAAAATACAACTCATTCATTTATCTGTTTGAAATTTGTGCACACTATGCAGTAAAAATTTGCCTTTCCTGTGAACTTATATTTGTTAGCATCAGGTAAAGTAGTTTAGCAATTATTTGCAAGTAAGTATATATTTTCATTAGAAATGGCGAGGATTTTTCAGGCTTTCAAAAGGTACTTTCTAACTCGGTTTTAAAACAAGGTCACCCACTCAAGTGGTTTAATGGGATTTTAATGTGTTTGATAATAGTGTCTAAAATGATGCTAAGACTACTGCAGAATAAAAAATTGTATAACATATAAATTAAAAGGGAACTATAAAATATATACTAATTAGAGATTTAAACGAATAATTCTTAACGATCATAACATAAAATGGTTATTTTAAAAATCTCCATATGTTTAGGAAAGTTAAGCATGTGAAAAACCGTATAAAAGTAAACGAAGTAGTAAAATAATTAAAACTAAAAGCTTTATTATAATCTAAAATTATAGTACATTACATAAGTCCAAGTTCAAAGCATGCTAGTAAATAGAAAGGTGAAACATATTTGTAAACGGGCGCTTTCTGACCGTGAACCGGCGGTTTCATAGTACTAACGTGGTCCTGTATTAAAAAAATCAGCTTCTTTTTCTTCTGTATTATTGCATTTGTAAATAATGTTTTCTTCCGTTGCCTAAAACAGCCATATATAGCTATAAAATCATCTTTCTCCAGGTTTACGGTTAATTCTTCAGCTTAATGCCGCATCAAGGAACCACTGACATTCACATATCTTTTCTTGAACTCTTGTAAACCGAACTTTCGGTGTTTTTTCAACATTGGACAGCGCATCAGTTTCATGTTTCTGTTTCAGTTTTGCTTTTATTTGGAAGCAATAGTTTTATGATTATTATTCTATAAAATCTTGATAACAGGGCTTGTGAAACCTTGAAGTTATAGAACAACATTTCATTAGCTTAGTTTCGAGAACATCCGAAAACAACACAACTTTATCAATTACCAGTAGTCTCCATAATTTCAGTAGTCTTACAGTAGACTACATACTTTATCCCTTACAGTAGTCTCCATACTTTACCCCTTTCAGTAGTCTCCATAATTTCAAAATGATAAGTAAAGAGTAAAAGGCACTACAATTGGTAAAGCAAGAGTGACCAAACGCGATTCCTGTAACAGAACATGCATCAAAATGTAAAGCTCAAAACTGAACAAAATGATATTTTTCATAAAAAAGCAAGGTAATTAATAATTTCAGCTTATCTTCCAAAAACTTGGAAAACGGGTACCTTGTACATAGATGAATTAATCAGATTGCAAGAGTGCATGACAATGTAAAATTTAAAATTAGGCAAAAAAATTACCCTTAATTTGGCGTAAATATTTTCAGGATGTTTTTTTTTTTCAAGAGATAAAAAGGAAAAGTGCAGAAATTCTTTTTTCCCTTGAAAAGACAGGGGCCTGTGTCTGATTGCTCTCAAATTAATACAGTTATTCAAAATCTACTCCAAAGTCATGTCGTTGTTTTTGCTTAGTTTTAAATGGTTGAATGAAATCAAAGCCAAATTGTTTGGTGACTTATTCCCTTA